ATATATATATATATTTATTTACCCGCTGCCACACGCAGCAAGATGTAACACAAGGCCGAGTTTAAAAGTAGGGGTATCAGAGCCTGTAGGCTCAGGCAAAAATTCCTACAGACCACGTAAAAATGGAATCAGTTTCCAGAGACGAGACTCCGCCCCTCGGCAGAGCCTCGTCTGGGGGATGCCTTCTGACATAAGCCAGGTAGGTATATATATATATATATATATATATACACATATATTACTTTTAAATATTTATAATGATAAATGACTTTTTACATATTTAAATATATTTATAAATATATATACATACATACATATATATATATATATATATATATATATATATATATATATATATATATATATATATATATGTACATATATATATATATTTTTAAAAGACATTTATCGAAAAAAGAAATGATGGTTATATTCCTTGAAAACACATCAAAATACAAAACATTCACAGCCATTGGCATAAAGACAAATAGATAACAAGTGTTCAATTTAACGTTACAAATCGAGCATCTAGTATAAAGTCAGATACAAAGTTATTGTCGAGTTTTGCCTTATTCTAACATTGTAAAATCAAACCACTCTTTAATACCACTTCACTCACATCAGGTAAAATTTTTTTTTTTTTTTTTTTTTTTGAAAATGAAATATTTCCCAAAGAATTTAATGTTGAATTTAGGCAAAACTTAAACTATATTTTCTGACAAAAATAAAACCGCCGATATAACGATAAACTACATCCGCGTCTTGGGTATAACGATAAACTACGCCCAACAGCAAGGCCTCTGATCAGGAGATTTTGTGGAGAGTGGAACCACCTCATAATTGCTGATGTTCCCAGGTCCATCCTGACCTGGCGTGGTATCATCTGTTAAGTTCCAGCTATAAGAAAAATAGTTAATCTCCAAAGTGGGGTCAAAACACTATGGAAGTGTAGGTAAATAGGTTCTAATACCAAGAATACAACTCCACCCTGTAAAAATAACTACTTTCTAATCACGGAAGTCACACCTAGTGTGGTGTGGCTGTGCCCCTATACTCAAAAAGAGGAGCCTGCATGACTAACAGGGCTTGTTATAAATATAAAATTGATTCATTGGTTTTCTACCGCTTAGCAACCTTTTGCAGGGTATTTAAAGACAGAAAATATTTTTAGATTGTATGAATTTTTTTTTTTGTAAATAATAAGGAATCTCTATCTATAAAAGGCAGGATATGTGTGTGTGTGTGTGTGTGTGTGTGTGTGTGTGTGTGTGTGTGTATGAAAGTGTGTGATGTGTGTGTGTGTGTGTGTAACGAATGCACGGCCGCAATTTTCGACAGTTGCACCAAAATTTACATGCACATGCTCAAGTTAGCAGGAAAGCCAAGACCGACTTTTGCATTTCCCAACTCCATCGATAGTGAAAATAATCCGATTTTTTTTCATGCTTCTACGGCAGTTTTCATATAGTTTGCGGCCATTTTGTATTGGCCAGAGTGAGAACCTATAGCTGGCTGCCACGAATAGGCAGGAAGATTCTATTGGCCAGTGTGAGAGCCAACAACTGACTGACACGAATGTTAAATAGCATGCTAGCATGCAAAAAAAATCGATAGCTGCATTCGTCAAAAGTGGGAAAAATTTAAATCTGCATGGCACTTTACTCCAATTGGCTCATTCGCTTGCTTAAACTCAACGTTGAATCTGATTCTGCAGAACTGGGTTGGGTGTGAAAAAGTATTTGTTGTTAACATTCTTTTTTCATTCGGTTTTTCCAGTTGTGTTCATTTTGTTTAGTTCTTTTTTCGTAACAGATTTAATGTTTAGTATAGAGCTTAGAACAAATTCACAGTGTGAGATAGGCAAGAAGTAAGGCATGTAGCAACATCAGCACGGCAAAGGGCACTCCTTTAAAGGCAAGGAAGGGCCAAAATATTTTAAGTCAAATGATAGCTATTGCTGTATGAGTCGTACGATTTTTGAATCAAGCACGGGCAACGGCAGACCATGCTGCTAGCTAGTGATAAAATTCTTGTGTAGCTAGGAGATAAAAGTTGGATCCATACCTTTTCCAGGTAAATTTACGTGTAAGTGAATATAACGAACCCAACTGGAATTGGAACTCGGTTCTCCTCTTATCAATTTCGAACTATTATCTCTTAAACCAGGTAGTGAAGACGACAAATGAGGAATACACAGATAGATGGATCTCATGACAATTTTACAAATGGTGCTTTTCTAAGGATAGCTTAGATGTGGCACGAGGCCGAAAGTAGGGGCACCCAGTGAGGATCGAACTCACTAATTAGTCGTAATTGTTCTAGCGAGACGACACTTACACCGCCCCGAGGTGCCCAATCTCTTAAACCAGGTATATCAAACTCTCGGCCCTTTACAAGCGCACCTGCGGGCCGCACAAAATAATTTTGTCATTTAACGGCTAACATTTCAGTTTTTATAATTTAGCAATTAGAGTAGTTAAGATAATAAATCACCTATTTTTTTTTATATTTTTATTTATTTCAGTAAAATACCAATTAAGTGTACCATTTACTTATAATAATAAACTTTAAGTTAGTATGGTATTAACCTATTATTTTTAAAATTGTAACAAGCATTCAATATTCTTGGTCGCTGAGAAAATAGCACGGGAAAAAATTCAATCTAGTAGCCATGTCACCAGCTATCACGCCACGAACACAATATGTAAGCTCATTAACAGTTGTAAACAGAAAAAAATAATTCAAATTGTCTAAAGGTTTTGCATTTAAACGTGAAATATCAGCTAAAATTTTTAGAGATTTTATTAAAATTACTGTATATCATTTTACTGTTAGCCCTAGTTTAATTTTTCAGATTTCGCGTCATCAATTTTGAAAATTATTTTTTTCCTACGACTTCATCACTAAACTGGATTCTTAGGAAATTGAACGAAGGACGTGCTTTTCAAGAAAATGGGGAATTACGGTATTTTTGCACAACGGCGAATAAAAAGATACATAGTTTAATTTGCAACAACTCCATCTCAACGCCCAAAGAGTACAACCTGAAATGACATTATGGAACGAACCATATTTCATACGATATATATGAAGGTGCAATGCACGTTTCAAAACTTAAGAATTGGGGGCTAGCTTAACACAGCAACTTTTTTACGAAAATTCAGAAACAGAATTTCGCTTGCATTACTGCAAGCTATGAACTCAGCAGAATTATCGCCATGAGTGGAAAATCTTACAGTAAATGAGATTTCGTAAAGCAATCCTTTGTAAAAAAAAACAGCTTGTATGTCAAAAGAAAGCACTTATTCAAAGACATCTCATTAAACAGGAACACTGTTGCTGAACGGATTGAAGTAATTTCAGGGGATTTGAAGCAACAAATGAAGGCTGTTTAATCAAGGTTTGAAAATTTTTCTATTTATTGATGAGACCGTTGACATCACTTGAATAGCACAGCTTACAATCTTCATCGGGGCCTGTGACAGTGAACTTAATATTTATTAAGAACCGATTGAACTGGTCCCCACGCATGGCACTGCAAGCCAGAAAATCTTTGAGAAAGTTGAGCAAGTTCTATGTTAGTATATTTTTGATTTGAGTAAACTTGCATACTCATCGACTGACGGTTCTGTAAATATGGTTGGCAAAAAGAAAACTAAAAAACTCACATCCAGATTCATGATTTTCATTCTTTCCCTCTAATATTCATCAGTAAAATTTGTGTTAAAAGATTCTAAAATTGGATCATGTGCTTAGCTTGGTCATAAAGACAGAAAACTATATTAGAGGCGGTGCCCTCAACCAGCGTCAGATCAGTCAGTTGTTGGAAGATATGAATAATTAGTTCACTGATGTTCCCTTCTAAACAGAAGTCCGCCGGTTGCCACATCACAAAGAACTGAAAAGATTCTATTATGATAATTATGTTTTGGAGATGAATGATCAAAACACGGATGAAATAAAAGATGAAAGTTGGCTCCAAAATCTATTTTTTTTGTTGTGGATATTACTGCTCGATTAACTGATTTTAATTTACAAAGTACAAAGTAAAAACAAAATTATCACTCAATTGTATGATGACATCAAGTGTTTCATTACAATATTATGTTGTCAATTTAAAATTTAGTTCATTTTCCTACATGCAAAGAGCTGAAAATCAGTGCCAATACCAAAACTGCACATAGCTATGCTTAATATGACAGTCATCTGGAATTGTTGTCAAAGGAATTTCAGAAAAGATTTCGTGTTTCTCATTTTTTGAACATCAGTTTGCATTATTCTCAGCACCATTCACTTTTGATGTTAACAAGACAGAGGAAAGTCTGCAGATGGAACTTTTAGAAATGCAGTCGGATTCTATACCCAGAGCAAAATATCTTGAAGTAGGAATAGCTGGGTTCTTTTTTATACCATACTGAAAAGTTTAAAAACTTCAGAAAGTTTGCCACACATATTACAGCAACATTTGGTTCTGCCTATGTGCACGAACAGTCATTTTTCTTCATGAAATCAATAAAATTGTCTCAAGGAAAAAGCCTAACTGATCAACATTTGCCATCTCTGATCAAAGTCGGAAATGCACAGACGTAACAAAAAATGTCAGCAAAAAGAGACTTCAAGCCTCAGGACAAAAATCTAAAACTGACTAGATAGCAGCAAATAAATGTTCAGTTTTGAACTATTGCAATTTTTCTACAATGTATTTGTTGCTGTTGCAAAATGCAAGTATATGTTGTTATTTAAAATGTTATTAATTTTTTTGTATCAAACTGATTCATTACTTTGTATACATGAACTCTGCTAAAACATTCGCATGCACATTGTGTTTTTCTAAATTTAATAACAAAAATAATCGGCCATAAACCTTATTAAACGACTCCATTAATTTTTAATGGGCACAGCTGGTTGTCGTGTGTGGCCCTCATGACAACACATACGGGACCATGTGAACCCTCAGTTTCACATGCCCGAATTAAACCACACGCACATCCAAGTTTCTAGTACCAGGTATTCGCAAGCCGTCACCCATCCAGATACTGAACAAGCTAGACTTTGCTTAACTTCAGTGATCGTACGGGGACCGGTGTTTCTGAGTTATATGGCTGTCAGTCAAAATGCAAATTATTTTAAATAATCTCAAAATCGGGTAATTGTTAACTCCCATAATCCGTATCATGATTCTTGATAAAATCCAAAGAAGAATCTGCAATGTTATTGGTCCTGACCTAGCATCTTGAATTCAGTCACTTTCCCACCGCCGTAATATAGCTTCACTCTGCATTTTCTATAGATACTTTCATGGTAATAGCTCTGGTGATCTTTCCTCTATGATAGATAGTTTTTATGAATTTAAGAGCAGTAGTAAATTGGTGGCAAGGTCTCATCTTTTTACAGAAAAAATATTACCAGAAATAGATTTTGAAAAAAAAAATGATCAGCAATAAAGATTTTGTCGGCATTAAGTAACCCATTGAGGTTGATATGCCGTAAAACAAAATAAACCAAACCAATCTAAACCAAAGAATACATCTTCTATTCATACGAATCTATTCTAAAAATGTTGTCGCCATTAAGTAACCCATTGAGGGTTATATGCCGTTAAACAAAATAAACCAAACCAAACCTGATTCTCTATGCTGTCTCTTGAATTTATTGTCTTAACTTCGGTTTAACTTTTGGTACCAAACCAAAACCTTTTTTCCTTGAATCTTTCATGTGAGTGCCAAATTTCCGAAGTCTACTTTCCTCATTATGTGTCAGAGTAATTTCACCTATCTCTTTCGGAACCTAAGTATAAGCGTTATTCATTTTGCTTTTATTATTATTTTTCCTAACACACCCTCATTAATGACATGTTCAGTCCGTGGTATTCTCAGCATCCTTCTGTAGAACCACATATCCGTCGCCTCAGGTTTCTTCATCTATGAGGAAACTAAACTAAGGTCCAATGCCATAGAAGAGAAATGGTATTACATAGCAGTTGAGGAACCTTTGCTTCTAATGAATTTTACCAATTTCTTAATACATTGCTTAGATTTTGGAATGCAGACTTTGTATTGCATTGCACCCTCGGATTTCGGTGCTGTTAAAAATACGTCCCAGATATTTAAATCTTTGTACTTGCTTTTGATATATTCAATTCGGAACTCGTATCCTGGGCTGTTCTTTCAGTTGGCAACCATAATTTTTCAATTGACAGTTTGTCCTTTCTTCGCGCTTTCTTTTACTGACTTTTCTAGGAGTTCCCCAAGTTTTCTTTCTGTGTTTCGCATCAACATTGTGCCATCTGTATATCACATGTTATTACAATTGTGCCCATCGATCATAAATCCTGGTAAGGCTTCTAGCTCTCTCAGGATCGTCTCACTGTAAAAGTCGAATAAATCTGATGAGATACTTGTTTTACACCATTTTCTATTATTGTACCCGTACGTAATTCATTTTCTATCCATCCATATACTTCCTGTCCCCAGTATTAATTCTAGATTATTCTAATATCTTTCCTAAATAAATCAAGTTTCCTAAGAGTTTAAATTGATTTTTGTTTTGTACCTTATGAAATGCTTTTGAATGGACTATGAAACATACACACACACACACACACACACACACACATATATATATATATATATATATATATATATATATATGAAACTCAATTGTACCCCATTTTATGGTCATTTCGCTCCTCGGAAAAAATTCTCCGGAACGTGTCAACGCTAAAATGTTTGATAAAAAAAAGTTTATTTCTATCAAGTGTTTTAGTATTGACAAGCTCCAGGGAATTTATCTCGAGGAGCGAAATAGCCATAAAAATGGGGTACATCTGAGTTTCATTTTTATGTAATTCATTTCTATGCTCTGCAATAAATATATTGAGCTCTCTTTTGTGGATCAATTTTATTTTATATTAATAGGGTCCTCTTGGATTACTTACCCAAGGATTTTACCTGTTTGTACGTTCTGTGTTAGTATTAAGCTCTTTATAATAAGACATTTAGTAGGCGACACCTTACTTAAGTTGCGATAGCCGAGCCAAATATATAATTCGAAATCTTTATAAAAAGGAATAATTAAATGAAAAGTTACTTAATAATTAAAGAAAGGAATTAATTACACCGAATAATTGGGCCGTAGCAGCTTGAAAAGGTTGTCTTAATTTTAGAAGAAAATACTCTTTGTACTTGTCTAATTAATTATCAAGAGACAATGTTTACGGCACATTCAATGCATTAGCCATATTTGGGTGGTGTAAGCTTTTTCATTATTAGATAGATAGATAGATAGATAGATAGATAGATAGATAGATAGATAGATACTAAGCCTATTTTACTCTATTACCTGAACAAAATAACAGTCAACTAGCGGAAGATTATGTTGTGCCAGCATTTCAAGGGAATAATACGTGACCCACTTGGAAACTGGACGTTTCTGTTACAAAGAAATATTGATTTATTTAAAATGATGTTTTAATTTTTGTTCTTGATTTTAAATTCCGACACACATACACGCACATACACACACACGCACACGCACACACACACACATACACATATATATGTTTTTTTTTTGTTTTTTTTTGCTGGGGCAACTTATATAATTCGCGTCTTAAAGCTAGTGGCAAATTTTTGTTCTAGGTGCGGGCCGAATGCTGATCATATTCGGTCGGGTCGCCCATCGAAGAAGTCTGTTGTTTATTTAGACCTGAAACTTCTAGTGACATGGGAGCAACAACACTGACGACGCATCTAGATTCAGCACTTAAACGTGTATTCTAATAATAATTTTATATATATATGTATATATATATGAGTACTTTGATCATTATATTAATATAAACATATTTGAAGAGACTTTATAAACAGTCCTTTCGAGAGTCAAAATAAGGAATATAAAGGAATATATATATATATATATATATATATATATATATATATATATATATATATATGTATGTATGTATATAGGGAGTTGTATGCATATATGTGTGTGCGTGTGTCTGTGTGTATGTGTGTGTGTGCGCGTGTGTGTTTGACGAGATGTCCCTAGATATGGGCAGTTGAAAAAGAACTTATATGCATAAGAAAATAAATATACAAATCGCTCACACACACAAACGCACACACACATATATATATATTTGTATATTTCGGCAGCAATCCTTCGTTTATGCATGTTTCATTAAAAACGACAGACAAGGTACTACGGTTAAGCTTTTTATTTAATTTTTCTTGTGTTCTAACAAGAGCTTTCTTTTCTGGACAAAGGTTGTGTAAGAACTGTCCAAATGTTTTATAGTTCCGAGCGCTTTCGGCTATACCTTTAGCCATTATCAAGGATGATTCGATTTTTCAGCTTAATTGAGAGTGAGCATTATTTGTATGTTTTTAGTGTGTTGTGGGAATGTTTTAATTTCTGAATACGGTTAGCACATTGTGGCCTTGTTCGTAGTTAATATTGTTATGAGTTGGCTTTTTCTTTTTTATTAAAGCTTCCCTTATTTTTAATCATTTTTTACAAGTGGAAGAATTTATTATATTTGTGTTTTCTGCTAGTATGTTTCTAATGGAGTCTGCTAAATTTGTGTGTGTGTATGTTTAAATGGATTCTAACGGAGCTGTGATCAGATATGTGTAACGTAAGGCGTCTGGATAAGCATGTAGCTGTATAAACGGTGTAATTATTATCAAACCGGACTCATAAATAATAGCGCTTGGAATTATAAAGCATTTGAACAGTTTTACATACTGTTTGTTTAGAAAAGAAAGATCTTGTTCGAACAATTATAGGCCAAATTCAGTTATTTTATAGTTGTTGTATAGCGTTGTTTGTTAACATCTAATTTTTAACTGTTTCTTTATTATTAATTACTTGGTAATTTGCATTAATTTATTAATTATTTACTGTTGCTTATTATTTATTATCATTATTATTAGAGTTACTTAGATGCGATTATGCGAGCATTCGTAAAATTTGCTAATTTATTCATTAATTATTTACTGCTGGCGTTTGTATTATTGGTTTTGTGCAACTGGACGACCCTGAAATTCGAGAAACTACTTCTCTAATTTAAGGTTTTTCCAGTTACTCTAATGAATATGTTTCCTTCCTTATCCGCTGTTTCTCGAGAATCTTCCGTTTAAATAAGTTATTTTCTCTTTTAATAAGTGTCCCATTCTTGGGACCAAAGTTGTGGTTGAATTGACTTCTATGTATAACTACTGCATATGATGAATTTTTGTATATAAAATCCCTTTTTGCGTTTATAGTTACGTATTTTTAAATTTCTACACGTTTCACCGATGTATAGTGAGGGGCATCTCAGGCAATGTACCTCCTTCAAAATGATTATTGTTTTGGTTATTTTTGGTTATGATCATATCCACAGTAGGTTTGAATGTACTTGTAATTATTCTGTTATTTAGATTCGATAGATTGTTTTGGATTGTGGATGCTATGGAGTTAATGTTTAGTATTTTGTGCTTGTTTTTATTTAATATATTTTTATTGTTGTTAATAATGTTGTTATCTTTTTGGCGGTCGTATATTTTGTATGCCTTTCTCTCCGCATTGTGGGTGAAATAATAAGGATATCAGATGATTTTGAAAGTGTCCCCTATGTATATTTTTTCTTTGGATAAGAATTGGGGGCTGCGGATTCTTAGTGCTCTTAAATAGAATCCTATAATTATTCTAGATTTGATCCTGTTATAGTGGTGGCAATAAAAATTGACCAGGTCAATATTGTTGGTAGCTTTACTGTAAACCTTAAACTGAAGTTTGCTATTATTTCTCTGCAGTACCATATCTACGAAGACATAAGACTCAGATTCAAATGTAAAGTCTATTATCAAATCGAAGTTATTACGTTTGTTGACAAGATCGGGTTAAGTTAATGTTTCTGGATATATAGAGAGAATCATCTGTGTAGCGAAAATAAGAGGAATTCTGTGGTAAAATATTATATATATATATATATATATATATATATATATATATATATATATATATATATATACACACACACACATATATATATATATATATATATATATATATATATATATATATATATAGAGAGAGAGAGAGAGTATAGTATAGTATA